GGGAAGGACTGTCAATGTTGAAGTTTTCTGTAGCAATATTTAGCTAAATAAGTATATAGTAAAATGAGATCTAGCTGTATTTCCAGGGCTTGTCAAGATCCAGCATAGGTGAATTTGCAATTTATAGTTGAATTTAGGTTTTTGTTTTTCAACTTAAAAGAAAAAGCAAAATTCATGAATATAGTAATAACCAAATTGGTCTCCAGAGTCCTGGGGATCCTTGGAAATAGGAAGTATAGGACTGTAGCTCAAAGGTTGTCTGGAGCAACGCATGTGAGACTTCTGAAACAAATGTATCTGTTGATTCCTCCACTCAAGGTTCATTTTTAGTTTTATTTTGCTTTTGCATTTTTTTTTTTAATTTTAGCGTAAAAGTTTCAAGCAAGACCACCGAAACGTTCACATGAAAATTTTCTTGAATTCTAGTATTCGTTAATTACAAATTATTATTCTAGTTTAACTCTTTTCTAAAAAAAAAAAAAACGGGGTTGATGAATTTCCAAGGTAGAAGAAGTGCCAAAAGTTTGGTGAGTTTCGATCGAGCTTTTGCATTTTTAAAATGTAAGTAATATTTCTATCAAAGAAGTATCATCAGTCAATTTTTCTTTTGAAGTTCAATACTATGTGGTGTTGTTTATGGGTAGACATACGACAAAATAGAGATAGTGTTGGGAAAATGTGGATATGGACACAAACGTAATTTGGAATGAAGATTTTCTCCTCTGGGAGTTATTTATCTCCACGCAAAGTTAAGGGCTTAAGGAAATAACACTTTCAGGATACAGAGACGTATTTTTATGAGTTGGGCAACTAATAATTATTGAAGAACTCCTTACTTCTCATATTCTATGTAATTACAAAAGTTTAACTTTTCATGGAAGAAGCTTAAAGTCACTGTCAAAGAACTAATTATAAGTCATCACAATTAAACAATTGATAGCTCCATGTTTGTCATTCTGTAAATTTGTACTTTCACATTATTATTATTATTATTATTATTATTATTATTATTATTATTATTATTATTATTATTATTATTATTATACATGAAACCTTCTCAATCGATTAATCAGTTTCTCATTATCCATTTGTTTAAGTGCTTTCTTTTAGCCACACAAAGGCTCAACACGTTACGAACTTCCCTTAGAGGGAAATGATCTCTCCATTCTCATGATCAATTACGATTTAAACAGAAAAGATGATCTTACAAAACATCCTTTGTGTTTTATTTATCCATCTTTTTTATTGTAGTATTTTTAATCCATCTTCTAGGGAAAAAAATTATATAATTAAAATAATCTAGTGAAATTTTACAAGTGGAGTCTGGGGAGGGTAGTGAGTATGCAGACCTTACCCCTGCACTGAAGAGAGGTGGAGCAAGGATTTGAAGCTTGTGAGTATGGTATTATAATCCTTTTAAGTTACTGGGTTCTAAATTAATAATTTGTATGCATTCAATGAATTTCTTAAGACAGATATAGAGCCAGAGCAAAAGCTACTGCGTTCGGCCAAACCCGCATTCCACACTCTAGCTCCGCCCGTGTCCCGAGGAGTAGAGATGTTGTTTATGAAAGACCCTCGGCTCAAGAAGACAAAAAGAGACAATATATCAGTACCATCAATAGAAACCATAAATATAATAACAACAACATAAGAACCAGAAAATAAATGAAAAGCAATAACAAAAACAAGTAAATAAGGCTCGGTACTATAAAAAATAAAAAAATAATGTGTACACAATTAACCACCAGCAATCCAAGACGAACGCTGTCAAACTAGCCTACCACCTATTTGAATGAATAATAAAATCGAATCTCCCTTTCTTTATTGAAATCATTTCTATCCACAAAATACTCAAGAACTAGCACTCCATTAGCCTCCCCCCTTTCTCTCTATGTATGATACTGACACCTTTAAATATTCCATGAGTTTATAAAATAGATAAAACTTCTTTAAGCCACCAACACCACCCAAACTACCACAAAAATAAAAGGAAGATGGAAATTGATGATACTAATTATGTCTGCCGCTTAGCTGTGGCCTGTGGGGCATAGTTTTGGTGCCCAAAGCCCTCAAAGAGACAATTCAGACCAGACATTACATGAGTTCTGCTAAAAAGGAATTTAGCTGTGTGGAGCATAGTTTTGGCTGCCCAAAGCCCTCAAAGAGACAATTCAGACCAGACATTACATGAGTTCTGCTAAAAAGGAATTTAGCTGTGTGGAGCATAGTTTTGGCTGCCCAAAGCCCTCAAAGAGACAATTCAGACCAGACATTACATGAGTTCTGCTAAAAAGGAATTTAGCTGTGTGGAGCATAGTTTTGGCTGCCCAAAGCCCTCAAAGAGACAATTCATACCAGACATTAGGCAGGCGCTTGGACATAAAAATAAAAAATAGTATTTAATGTTAGGTTAAAAAATGATATTTAAAAATTGAAATTATGTTTGAACATGCATTTCACTTGAAAAAATATTGTAGTTTTCTGAGTGGGAAAAAAAGTTTTTCTGAAAATTCTAAAAAAGTGATTTTTTGGAAAACTCATTTTTGAATTTTTTTTCAAAACTTACAAAATTTCATGGAAAAAGATATTTTTTTAAAAAAAGAATTTTTTTTATAAACAAACGGGGCCGATATAACTTCTGCACTGCTAAAAAAGGAATTTTTGGACAAAGTTATCATTTTAGCCTTCAGATATATCTACTGGACCACTGCTACCACTGGCAACTACAAACAAATTCCCTCATCAAAAGGTCCCCTCCCCCATCCCCATCTTAAATTAAACCCACGCATTAATTCAATTTAAGTACAATAAATCTTGAATTTTTTGAAAGGAGCCTCGACATTATTATAACTTTAATACTCTTTACATCCCACTATTAGTACCTACTACCTAGCAAAGGCGGACCCAAGAATCTAATGCGATGGGTCACAATATTCTATTTAATCAGTGCTCCCTAAAGACTTTTAGCGTTGAGGGTGCTTAGTGATTTAAATTAATCATTTTCAAGGTATATACATTTACATATACAAGATTTCTGCCGAAGCTTACAAGATCCGATGACCGCTCAACCTAAGCCATAGGTCCGCCTCTGCTACCTAGTACTCCCTCCGTCTTAAAACACTTGTCGCATTTTTCTTTTACATGCTCCGTCTTACAAAATTTTGGTTGTATTTTGACTATTTTGCCCTCTTGTTAATTTCCAAGGATCAATAAATATTAATTGAAAAGAACAAGGTAAACTACTTTTTCTTTGGCATGTGAACTTACAAAATCAGCCCATTGATATAATTAATACAAGGGTAAAATGAGAAAAAACTACTTAATTTTATCTTCATTAAATAAAACGATAAGCATTTTCAGACAAGTATTTTGAGCAAGGACGATAAGTATTTTGGGACGAAAGGAGTAACGTTTAGAAGTTAGATTTATCTATGGTTGTCCAACGGGACTGGCCGTCCCGTCCCATCCCGTCCCACTTCATTTTAAATGGGATGGGCCAATGTTAAACGGGACACGAGATGGGACGGGACGACCATTCATTTCGTCCCATCCCGTTTCGTCTCATCCCGTCCCGTCCTGCCTGTCCCGCGAGTTTTTATGGTATATTTGTGGGATTTCTGTCGTATTTGGTAAGTATAAAATAAATCCAACTTATGCACCGGACATTAATGAAATGATTGCAAAATTTAAAAATTATTTTTTCTCTATTCCCCATGTTTATTTAATTTCTACAGTACTTAAATCATATTTAAAATTAAGAGGTGCAAAGGGACTTGTTCATAAAATTTATCAAAATTTAGCAATTCAAGAAAATGAACAACAATCTCTCGAAGACTTCCAAGCTAACATATATTTTTTTTATGAATTGCCTTACCCTCTTACTTAGTTACTTAATGACTTGAAATTGTATTAAATAAATTATAACTCTATTATAATTACTAGAATATTTCATTACAAGTATTTTGTTTTAATATTTTATAATTCTTTACTTAGTTTCCTAATTTTTGTTTTAATATTTAAGTTTATTAAATAAGTCAATAAACTAGCCGTTGCAAACTTTAAAAACTTAGTCATTGTCAAAAAATTTGTCGTTGTCAAACTTAATGCTTAAATAATTTTTTTTTAAAAAAACAGCCCACTTAAGGCCCGCCATCCCGTCCCGTCCCGTCCGGTTTGTTAGCGGGACGGGATGGGACGACCATTTCGTTCCGTTTATCCCGTCTTGTTTCGTCTTGTCCCGACCAAATATCGTCTTGTCCCGTCTTGTCCCGTTAATTTTATTCCGTCTCGTCCCGTTGGACCGCCATAGATTTATCTATTTTAGAAGTGATGTTTCACTTAAAATCATGAAATTCAAAAGAAACCACAGATTTGAAAAAGACGCCATATATATCATGAATAATTTGGTTGCCAGGTATCATAAGTTTGGCCGTTAACACTAATTTAGATCTAAATCGGACAGACAGAATACCTTAATATAAATATTCCAAGCCGTCCATAAAACTATGATCAATTTTCTGACCCACCGACATTTATGGGATCCTTAAATCTAGTTTAATCAAATTAAATACACAACTAGGCACTAATGACAACCCTTAATTTAATGTTATTAATTAGTAGTACGCAAATGGTTTTACTTTTACTTTTTGTCTTCTTAAAAAAAAGAAGGGCAGCCTGATGCACTAAGCTTTCGCTATGTGCGGAATTCGGGGAAGGGCCGGACCACAACGGCCTATTGTACGCAGTATTAACCTGTATTTCTACAAGAGACTGTTTCCACGGCTCAAACTCGTAACCTCCTGATCACATGACAGTAGCTTTACCGGCTCCAGCAAGGCTGCCTTTCTTTTCATCTTCTTTAAGCATGTTGAAATATCCTATTCAGTTAAAGGTCACAATCTTGTAAATATAAATATGACAAGCTGGTGGTAGTGCTAATCTTTGTACCAAAAAGGTCGTTTTCTTCTTGTTCATTTCTCCTTCTTTTTGGCTCCTCCATGGCAGCCCAACAACAGTCCAAATGGGAAGGAAAAGCCATTGCAAATCTTAAAGGGCCAAAAGCTGAACAAGTATGGCCTCTCTTTGAAGATTTTTTCAACTTTCAAAAATTACTACCTACCATTGACACTTGTTACCAAGTGAAAGATGGACTTACCCGTTGTTGCGCTAGAACCTTGCCACCTTCATCCGACGGTGGAGAATCGATCATCAAGTGGTGTCACGAGAAGTTATTGGCTGTTGACAAGATCGAACGGTGTCTAACCTACGAGGTGTTAGACAATAACATGGGAATCAGGTCGTATGTAGCTACGTTTAAAGTATTGTCAATATCAGACGATACTGGTGATCATGAGCTTGGGTGCCAGATCGAATGGTCGTTCGTTGCTGATCCGATTGATGATTTGACTTTGGAATTTTTCTTGGGCTACGTTGACTCTTCCCTACAAAGCATAGCTGAAAACATTGAGAAAGGTTTAGAATAGGTGATTTTGGTAAAAAGTAATTACCTGATTGTATAATATTATGTTTCACTTGGACAAGTAACTAGTGTTATTTTAAGAAATGGATAATGGTTCAGTTTTCTGTTTGGAAGTTCTTGACCAGACAAGAAGGTTGAGAATTTGATACTATTGTTTATTGAAAAAGAAAAGAAAAAATTAATTTTATTAAACATTTCACACAAAATACTGGAGTAAGAGAGTGGTGATGTTTTGGTGCACATGCTCCACGAGAACTATAAGGTGTTTTTGTCAATAATAAGTATATTCCAAAGAATTCCCTAACTGTTATACGTAAAATGGAACTGTTAAGAGCTACTGTTGCATTTGGTTTTCTAGTTCCTAAAATTAATTGGGGCTCACTAGCTACAGCAATTACTAATAGAAATAATATATGCATTGGCCTAGAATACCAGTATATATTTGAAAACTTAAATAAAATAAATACTGGTAAGATGTCAATGGGGACAAAGTCAAACGACATGACAGCATCTAAAGTGTATTATCGTTCGGATTATGTTTTGTTTTTTTCTTCTATTTGGATTATGTTTAACTATTCTAAAAGGGAATTTCACCCCATTATGCCTCTTTCAATGTTTTAAAGTCTAGACTGTCTAAATTATGTTCACATTCAGGATTTCACCCCTTGTGTTAGGAGTTCATTACTCAAATGGTCACTCAATTATCCCAAATTATCTTCTAAAGTCACTTTATTTTCGTTTGTAACAACAAAGTCACTCAACTATGCCTATGACACTTAGAAGGTCACTCAACTAAATTTTTCAAATTTTAGATTGCCAAATACCTATTTTACCCTCTAAATTATAAACATTTATCTTCTTTATATATTTGTTTAAAATTTTTAATATTATAATTTTCCCTTTTTAATTTATATTATGGACTTACCTATAGAATAAATAATATTATTTAAAAATTAAAAAATTAAAAAATATTTAAGCATATTTAATGCTGGAAAACAAAATAATGAGCATAGTAAAAAAATTAATTAGAATAATTTATTAGCAATAATAATTTTAGTATTAACAACAAAAATTCAAAAATTTATTTACACAATTCAGAATAAAAGAAAATAAAGGTTGTAAAATATATATTGCATGCACGTAATATAAAAATAATTATTTAAATAAAAATATTTTTATAATATAGATTATATATTCTTGAAAATTATGCTCAATTATATTATTATATTTCTACCAACTTTCCGACGACACAAAGTTATATCACCGGAAAGCAAGGGGACTATCTGTATAGGGTAAAATATGCTATGTTTAGTCGTGCATGGAATATATATAACATAATTGAGCATAATTTTGAAGAATATATAATGTATATTATTAAAATACTTTTATTTAAATAATTATTTTTATAGTACGTGCATGAAATATATATTTTACAGGCTTTATTTTCTTTCATTCTGAATTGTGTAAATAAATTTTTGAATTTTTTTGTTAATAGTAAAATTATTATTACGAACAAATTATTCTAATTAATTTTGTTACTATGCTCATTATTTTGTTACTCCAGCATTATAGATACTTAAATACTTTTTATGTTTTAATTTATAAATAATATTTATTTATTTTTAGGTAAGTCCATAATTTAAATTAAAAAGAGAAAATTATATTATTAAAAGGTTTAAAAAAATAAAAGAAGATAAATATTTATAATTAGAGGGTAAAATAGGTATTTGATAATCCAAAATTTGAAAAATCTAGTTGAGTGACATTCTTAGTGCAATAAGCATAGTTCAGTGACTTTGTTGTTACAAACGAAAGTAAAGAGACTTTAGGAGATAATTTGGGATAGTTGAGTGACCATTTGAGTAATTGACTCGTGTCGTTGCTCAAGTTTGATTTGCAGTCTTTTATGCCCAATTTTCCTAAAATCATCTTTTCTTTAGACAAGATTTAAACATTTTATAGAAGTGTATAACCATTCTTAAAACAACATTATAGTATTTCTCAAAATCTTATGATCTGTTTCAAAGGTTTGCGATAACTAAGATGTCCATGGAATTAAAGCAAAGTTGAATGACGTTTACGCCTTTTCTTCAACAAACTTATATCACCCATCATGTTGCTAACCAAAAGCTTTCACTTCATCAAAACTTTTCTGTTGTGGAGAAGAGATTGTGTTAATAGAATACATAGTACTGGCCAAAGAGTCTATCGCGCGCTAAGCCNCTAAGCTGGATATCTGATCAAATAAATCATTTAATAGCAGTCCTTAAAACCCCCGCTCAATCAAACACTAACTATTTGCAAAGCTAGCACTGACTATACACATTTGCAAGATTGCCAGCACCTAACTTCTTGTGCATCCAGTCAATGATATCCTGAGCAATTTCTTCACGCTCGGGCTCAAACAGAAGGTCATGCAAGAACCCATCATAAAGTTTAATGTCCTTGAACTCAGAAGCGGCCTCATTGTACAGATCTTGAGAAGCCAACGGATCAGTGACTCTGTCAGCAGTTCCATGGAGGACTAAGAATGGGACAGTGACAGACTTGAAATTCCGCATCAAGTAAGAGGAGATGCGCAGAATCTCATGGCCTGTCCTAACCCTCAAGGGTCCAGTATACACTAGAGGATCAGAATACTTGGCCACCAGTGCTGCAGGATCCCTTGAAACAGGAATCCCCCTTTTGTGAGAACCTTTGAACTGGTACCTAGGTGCAACCAATGAAAAAATTGGTGCCACAGCCTGCATTTNAACCAATGAAAAAATTGGTGCCACGGCCTGCATTTGGATGACGAACATAATATTAAAGAGTGCATGCAAAGAAGACATTGCTGATCAGAAAGTCATCTAAAGCAGACAAACATAATCATATAATTTCATCAAAAAGTAGGACCTTACAGTAACAATAGGATTTGCAGGTTTCACACGCAATGCTGGTGAAGTCAATATGATGCCCTCCAGCATGTTTTCAATGTGTGAATAAGAAGCTGCCTATGAAAGGGAGCAGATTATCAGTAGAATAATTAATGAATACTAAAGTTTCCAGAATTGTTGAAGTTACTTCACTTCCAAAGACTTACCTTTAATACCACCGCTCCTCCAGTTGAATGGCCAAAGAGGAAGCATGGTACACCAGGATTCTCAAACTTGACCTTCTCCAAGAAAGCCCCCTGTATAAACGGGAGAAGCAGTTAGGTAATCTGGTGAGCCCTATGGAAGGGACTAAGACAATAGTGAGTGAACGATGCATGTAAATGGAGATCACATCCTCAGCTTGTTAATTAGGAATTGATATCCAGTTCAAGAAATAGATGTGGAACTGAATCCTCAAGGCAAAGAGTTCCAGATATATAGCAGACATGGAACATGAAATATTAAAACAGGAACCAACTTACCGTGTCGGCTACAACATGGTCCAAAGATGGCACATATCCATGTAATCCATCACTCCCTCCATGACCTGTCACATGGAGCAATTATGTCATTTGCATAGAACTATTAACAACCACTTCGAATACTAGCCCAACCTATCATAGCAATCAGTTAAGAGAAGCTTCATGTCCATGAACCCGGAAAATATAGCATCACATACTTAATGCATATAACTCAAATGAAGGCATTTTTGAAAGGGAAAAAAAACTTTGCAAGGTATCTGTGAGAGAACAGTATAATCCTGATAAGAGACCAGCTAGCAAAGAAGCATCAGTGAAAGAGAAACCACTGAAGAACTTCATCCCCAAAAAAAGAGGACCACCGAGGAAGAGATATAATGAGAATGTTAACAGATAAAGTTATGCATGCATAGTGGTGGCAAAATGGTTAAAAGAAAACAGTTAACCACCCATATTATCCACCCAAAAATGGGTTGGATAATGAATTTTTAAAAACGGGTCAAATATGGATAAGAATCATATTATCTATTTTTTTTTTTTTTTATTTGCACCGGGTGTCCGAGTCTCTTCGAACCCCGACTATTCCCGGGGATGCACAGGCCCTCGGCAAGGAGTTTCAAATTGGGGGTTCCTCAAAGTAAGGAGACTAAGAATTCTCCCAGAAGTGATCATATGCGAGAAGTCATGGGTAACCATATTATCCGCCGGTTAATCCGTTTTTTTATCCGTATTAAATATGGGTCGGGTCGGGTAATTGATCCGTATTTTCATTACCCGCCTCGACCCAAACCATATCCGACCCGATCCGCCCGTTTGCCACTCCTATGCATGCACTTCATTAAGAACACAGACAGGAAGAGAAGTTAGAGAAGTGAGGAGAAACAGAAATTTTTCATTCAGTTATCTAAGTTTACTACACTGCACGTGCTATTATATACACAGCACACTGATATGTCTTTACACTATCATCGATATTACTAAATGCCCTCGGAAGATTTAAGCAAACAAGTATGGTGAGGACTGAGGATAACTGATATTTTGCAGGAAGATGATGACCAAATGGAATCCCACCTTAGATCATGGAAGGTTCGCCAGCTATATTGCTTTTCAAAGATACCGTTATGGATTGATGACCAGACCACTGCGTTTGGAAAGAGAAGTAAAGCAAAGCAGGGCCAGACAGGGAATGTGTCCCAGCTTTTTCAGGCACGTGCGGAACTTGATTGGGAAGAGATAGAGTGAGAATGACAATAGATGAAGTTATACACGCACTTCATTAAGAACCATAAGTATCCCATTTCTCAACCATCCTAACTACAAGGCAAGTCATTCTTAGCACCCTAAGTATGACCATTACACTTTCACATGATTCTGATGAAATACTAGTATGTAAGATGATAAAGAGGTCACTGCAGATAAGTGATAAAGGCAGTATCAACTGATTGACCTCTACACAATTTAAACAGGTCATCAAAAAAGGGCAGGATAAAGGTACCTATCCAGTCCATCGCATACACCCCGAAGTTGCAGGAGTTCAGTTGTCTAGCAAAATGAGCATATCTTCCACTGAAAATGAAATATAAAAGGAATATTATTATCCAGCAAGCGCC